CTTAGAGAACAATCTAGAATGCCATGGTTATTTCCTATGGTTGTTTCCCCTCATTATAAATAAGGACAGTATATCATGTTACTAAAAATTTGTCAATTTATGATGATTAATTCCTCAATAATTGTAGTACATAATGTCCATTTCATATTATTCAACTACTCCTCGCTGCTGGGCACCTCAGTGACTTCGGCCTCTGTAGTTCTCAGCAGCACTGTGATAACTAGAGTGATTGCCTCCTTCACTGCCTACCCACTGCCGCTTACAATTTGCTCCTCTCATCTCCAATAGAGAGGGGAACTCGAGACTCAGACTGCTTGGGTTTGAATCCCAGTGTGTGATCTTAGGCAAGTTATATAACCTCTCTCCGCCTCACTTCCCTCACCTGTAAATTAGGGAGAATGGCAGGACCAATTGCATGAGGTTCTTTTTTTTTTTTAATGACTAGAATTTTTTTTAATGGCTAGAACATTTTACTCAGTTTGGGCCGATACTATTTCTTTTTTCTTTTATCATTTATTTATTTATTTTTATGTTTTTCCACAAGCATTTACTTAACATATCAAAAAATTTTTGCTCATATTCCATAGTTCTTGACAGTTAATAAATAACTTTCAGGACCAGCAGTTAGCATAATGGCTATGTCGCTGGACTCCCACATAGTCGACCATGGTTCGAGTCCCGGACCCAGTGGCTTAAAACTCACACTGGGCGCGTGTGCGTGTGTGCCCAAGATCCCGAGAGGAGAATGGAGGAGAAGGGATTGTGGCGTGGCCATCCCCCCTGGGGAGTGATTTCTCGCTTTCAGTCTCTCTGTTTCTCTCTGTCTGTCTGACGAGTGCACGTGCCCTATAGCAAAAACCTCTCAAAAAAAAAAAAGATTAAAGAAAAAAAAAACCTTCAAAATTTCAAAAAACTTAATTTTAAAGATAATGTTTGAAATATTTGTTATAATTTTGTTTGTAACTCTTTAACAACAGAGACAGTATGGTTTTAGATATTTTTTTTCTTTCTTGGTCAATTCTTTCAGGTTTAATTTATCTGAGAATGTTGTCTTCCCATATGAAGGGTAATCTTGCCGGGTACAGTATTCTTGGTTGAAACTATTTTTCACTTAATACTTTTAATGTATTTTCCCATTCTTTCCTTGCTAGCATTGTTTCTGATGAGAGGTCTGATGTTAGCCTGATTGGATAACCTTTATAAGTAACATGTCATTTCTCTCTTGCCAATTTTAGTATCTTGTCTTTGTCTGTAGATTTGGTCAGTCTGGCTATGATGTGCCTTCGAGGAGATCTTCTTGGGTTGATTCTGTTAAGGGTCCTTTGTATTTCTAGGGTCTGGATATTTGAGTGCCTCTCTAGATTTGGAAAGTTTTCTTGTAGGATTTCATGGAATAGATTATCAATGCCCTTATTAGTTTCTTCACTTTCTGGGATACCGATTATCTGGATGTTTGAGTGCTTAATGGTATCTAGTTTTTCTTGTATAGTATATTCTCTCTCTCTCTCTCTCTCTTTTTTTTTTTTTTTTTGGTTATTTTCTCTGTTTTTGGTTGTTTTTTTTTTTTTTCTAGGTCAAAGGTTTTGCTTTCAACATCTGAGATTCTATTTTTTGCATGGACTAATCTGCTTTCAATACTTTCAAGGGAGGTTTTGATTTCCTGCATTTCAGCCTTCATCTCGAACAGCTCCTTTTGATTCTTTTTTATCATGTGTATTTCCTCTTTCAGATTGTGCAAGAACTTCCTCACCTCCTGGAACTCATTCTCTCTTTTCTCCTGCATCTTCTGGAGTTCATCGGCTCTGAGCTCTTGCATCTTATTTAGTTCTGTCACTATGAATATGCTGAATTCTCTATCAGGCATTTTCACAAGTTCCACTGTACTGTCTGTGGGTGAAGAAGGATTGTTCTTTCCCCTCAGGGGAGAGATATTTTCTTGGTTTCTCATATTTCTTGTGCCTTTGCAGTGGTTAGCTTGGCCCCGCCTCCAGTGTTAACCATTAACCCATCAAAGGAGGCTTTTGTGACTATCATATCAATACTGGAATCTTCTAGAACATTTCATCATTCTGTGACGAAATCTTTCCTCTGCTTGTCTGAGTGTTCCGGGGGTCTAGGAGATGGGGTTTAGCGCACAGCTTTAGTCGCCTTGGTCCCTGAACACGCCAGGAGACACCTTAGATTTAAAATGGCTCCTTGTCTGAGTGTTCCGGGGGGTCTAGGAGATGGGGTTTAGAGCACAGCTTCAGTTGTCTTGGTCCCTCCCAATTGCATGAGAGCCTTACAAGCCTTAATTACAGCAGTGCATGCTAAGTCTGGTCTTTGGTATTCAGTAATTATTCAGTGATTAATTAGAAATTCCTTTAAAGAAAATGTTTGCAGTTTGCTAGAGGGTGTATGGACTTGACAGAGGAAGGGTGAGACAGCGCCCCTCCCTGCAGTGGGGCGCGGTCACGCTGCAGCCCCTTCTCCATCCCTTCACCAGAACTCCAGGCATGCACGAACACATGCCTGGTGGGTTGTTTCTTCATGGTGCCAGGTCTGGAATTCGAGCCTTGCAGGCGGCCACATGAGATCTGACTCCCCTTACCACTAGGCCATGGGGCTGGCCTGTTTAGTGACTCATTTTATTCAGTAAATGCAGGCAGGGAGCCTATATAAATAGGAGTAGGCCTAAAATAAGAATCTGTTGTGAGTTGTATAAAATTGTAAGGATCCCTGGCCTTCTTCAGTTCCCTTTTCATTAAATGCTAAAGCTCAAGGCAGCCTAGCACAGTCAGGGCCTCCCAAGGCAAGGAGGGCAGGCTTGGGCATGGGAGGTGGGTACAGGCAGAGTCATCTAGTAAGTAAACACATTGAGGAGAACAGAGCCAAGCTCCTCACACATATGGAAAGAGAGGAAATCAGAATGAACCCTGGAATTGGAGATGTTGCTTAAATGCATTATTTTCCATTTACAGTTAAGTAGGGGAATGTTTTTATATACATGTATGTACATGTATATATGTACGTATGTCATGTATATATACACAAACATGCCCACACACATATGTTTTGAATTCTAAGCCCCCGAGGCACCTGGATCTTGGCTTCTAAATGCCATTTTCCACTAAAAGCTATTAGGGAACTATGTCTGATTCTAGAGCTAAGGCAGGAAAACAGAAAGGTCTTATACCAGAGGCCCAGCCATAGTGTACAGCAGTAAGCAGTCTACGCTTAGCAATGCTGGAAGCCACATGGAAGGTTGGGGATCAGCTCCCAGGATGACTTGGACGTACTGGGCACTCACGTACGTACCCATGACCCTTCCAGCCGGGGCTAGGAAGGTCACAACATGAGTCTCTGGGGGGGGTTGCCAGTCTCCCTCTCTAAGGAAAGAAAGAAACAAACTTAAAAAAAAAAAAAAAAGATCTTGTACCAGAAAGTAAAGAAGTAAAAGGGTAAAAGGGATCTATTGAGGGGCCAGCAGATGGCGTAATGGTTTTATTGCTGAACTCTCACATAATCAACCGTGGTTGGAGTCCCAGACCCAGCAGCTTAATCTCATGCCGGGCATGTGCGCATGCGTGCTCAAGATCCCGAGAGGAGAATGGAAAAGAAGGGATTGCAGTGTGGCCATCCTTCTGGCGGTGATTTCTAGCTTTCGGTCTTTCTCATTCTGCGGTGAGCACATGTGCCCTGTAGCAAAAATCTCTCCAAAAGAAAGGGCTCTATTGAGAGGACACAGAAACCAACTCAAGTGGGCTCCCCCTGGCCAAGTCAGGTACAGTTTAAGCATCAACATAAATCGCTGAGTGAAATAATAAACTGAATTCTCGCTGTGATTAAAAAAAGAATATATTGAAGGTTGAGGAGGAGCAGGTTATTCATTTGACTTCAAGAAGCTCCCCACAGAAGACTCAGTAATTGCAAAGGAGACGAGTAACTTCATGTGCAGAGGCCTTGCCTCACCCTCCATCAGTGACCAAGTTGGAGTTGGAGTCACCAGTGCCAGGACAAGCCAGAGCTGTGTGTGCCAGTAGGGGCAGTCCCGTCTGTGTCCTTGCCAGAGGTGCGTGGCTCCTGTTTGCTGTTGGGGACCTCACTGGGGCAGGTGAAGAGCCAGTCCGAGGGTTAGGTAGGGTTGCTCTGGCAGTGCTGATTTGCTGGGGTGTTCTGTTTTGTTTATTGTCAGAGGACATGTACACTCACCGGAGGGAGAGGAGCACCTCCCAATGGAATGTCACACCTCAAGTTCTTCTCTATTTCTTTCTTTTTTTTTTGCTATAGTGCGCGTGCGCTCGCCAGAAAGAGAGAGAGAAACAGAAAGCGAGAAATCACCCCCCCAGGGGGGACAGCCATGCTGCAATTTCTTCTCCTCCATTCTCTTTTCAGGATCTTGGCCATGTACGCACACACTCCCGGCATGAATTGAAGCCACCAGGTCTGGGACTCGAACCGCAGTCAACTACCTGGGAGTCCAGCGACATAGCCATTACGCCATCTGCTGGTCCCAAGCTCTTCTCTATTTTTCTATCCTCTCTGGATTTTGCGCACACACATCTGACATGTTTTTCAGACCAATGGGGTAAGGATTTGAACTATGGGATCTGGCTCCCTTAGCCACAAGGCTATGGGCTGGGCTGCCACAGTCGATCTCCATTTCTCCCTCCAGTTGGGATCTTCGGCACACATGCACATGCACCCAGCATATTTTCCAAGCCGTGGGATCCAGGACTTGAACCCTGCTGTCAGCCATAGGAGATGCAGCTGCCTTCACCACCACATCACCAGTTTGCCCGTTTTTCTTTTTTTAAATTATGTAGGTTGGGAAAAATGCTTTTCTGTATGTTGGTGATTGTTCCTAAAATTTTAAGACAAGGTCTCAGTGTGTCATGATCTTCCTGCCTCAGTTTCCCAGGTAGCTGTAACCAAGGCCCACATTACCATGCCCACCATGCCCAACTTTTAGGGGAGGCTGGGAACTGAACCAGGCCTCACATGGGGTCCCAGCCTGGTGAATAGCACCATCAATCAGAGCGTGCTGCAATAGCTGGGAATGAGAAAATGTTAAATTCTTACACTCTTGGGCTGACCGAATCGAGTGGACCTCCCATGACCGTGCTCTTAGCACTAGCGTATTTTAACAAGAACAGGCCATTTCCTGGTAGACACCTCTTGTTATACCTTTCCGATATTAGAAAATATCTGTAATTGGGCCAGCAGGCGGCATGGAGGTTAGGGTGCCGGATCCCACATGGCTGCCTACATGGTTGAGTCCAGGCCCAACAGCTTGGAAATCATGTAGGGCCTGTGTTTTTGTGTGCCCAAGATCCTGAGAGGAGAAGAAATTGTGGTGGGGTCATCCCCCGGGGGGTGATTTCTCACCTTCTCTCTGCCCCTAATGAACGCACGTACTCTATAGCAAAAACTAAAAGAAAAGATCTATGACGTTCACAATTCCAAAAACAAAACCGAAGCATCAATATGGATATTTAAAAAGGGTTATGAAGTGTAGGTCATTTATTTAAAATCAGGGAAAATTGTTCAAGTTACACATATTCATGTTTACTTTACTCATGAGAGGGAACAAACGTGCACAAAAGAGAACGAGAGGGAGGTGCCCTCGACAGGGTTTTGTCCTGCCGTGACCCCCCCGCCACACCCTCTCGCTTGTCGAGCTCTTGAGCACGTGCACACAGGACGCTCCAGGTCACCAGAGATCTGAGCCTGTGGTCAGCAGCTGGGCCGCTGCTCCCTGTGCCACTGAAGCCGGGGCGTGTTTACACATTGACTTCTCTTGTTTTATTTTTTTAAATCATAGTTGTTTTTTCTTCTTTTTTTAAAATTAATTAATTTATTTACATTTAATCACATCTTTACAGTGTACAACATTTCTTTTTCCAGCACAAATACTATGCCCATCAGTCAAACCAGATATTACTCTTTAACTTATCAAATAGCTTCTCATTTTTTGTCACTTAAGCATTCCCCCTCTCTCCCTTCCATACTAAACTTTTTTCTATATTTTATTGATTTACAAAATATGTTAACTAAAAATATGGACAAAGCTAGAATCTAGTTACAAGTGTCCTGTAATTTACTTCTGAAAATTTATATATATAT